TACCAAGTTACCAAACATGTACTCTTTACTTTTCTATTTAATGAAATTAGAGGGGAAGAAGGAACTTAACTTCAACTCCCGATTTATGCCAAACCTACTTTTCTACACTGATGAAAAAAAAAAAAAAAATTTCTCCCAATTTGAGTCTTATGGTGAGGATTCTACTAAATCATTTTAAACTACTCCACTGCCAACGAGAAAAGCAACACGGGAAGAAAGGGGCAAACATTAAGTTGGTATTTATGTGGATTGACTGGGTTTAGGTTATTGGGCCTGTAGGTATATTTGTATTGTGTGGTTATAGAAGGGCTAAATTATGGAATGGGCCATGGGCTGTAGTGTAGTGGGCTGTCTAGATATATTTTGAGGTGAGGCATAACTATTTGGTTGGATTTTGGCTGGATTTGGGCTTTGTTTAGTAAGCTCTCCATTTTAACTGGGGTGTGGATAATTGGGCTGATTGATTTTATTGTTAATTGGTTGATTAATTTTACTGTGGACTGAAATTTCTTCGCTAAAATTAGGGAGAAATAGATTTGACTACTTTTTACGAGGGATTTAACAATTATAATATGATATTACTACTAAAAAAAAAAGAGATGGGAGTGAAGACCGTTAACTTTTGGTGAGTGCAGACCATTGAGTTTTGGTTGCTCAGGTGATGAGCTAGAGTTTTGGTTTCTCGGAAGAGGATCATCTTTAGGTTTTTGGTGTAGGCTGTTTTGTGGGATTTCTTCCACCTGCAGTATCTAGAGTTTTGGCCGATGTTTTGGCGTTAGAGCTTTTATCGGAACTCGAATTATGTGTTCGACTAAATTCTCCCGACAAATAGAACTCACTCTGTGTGTCGGCACACTTCGTGAATTTCTTTTGGAAATTCTTCTTGGAGAGAGCGAGTTCTCTGGAGTATTTTTGGAGCGTTCTTTGTTGATTATTGCACTATTTGTTTTTTTGGTCTCTCGTCGTCACTAATTTTCGTTGTTGGTTGCTCTGATTTGGATTTCTACTTCATGGGCACAAATATTGTCACTATCGCCAATTCATGATTGCA